GGCCAGAGTAGATGAAGAATCGAAAAAATCAGTAGATAACCATCAATTAACCGGCGGCAGTACTGACCAGCGGGAGAATAATCAATGATCGCCGGTGCCGGCCGTGTTATAAACCTAATTATATTTCATTGTTTGCATACAAAAGAACTGGTGTCTGAAGAAAAAGGATTGTGGCCACCCCGTGTATGGTCGTTAGTAAAAAAAAAATGTACAGCCCAATATGCAAGCTACAAACGGGAGACGTCAAGTAGAAAAATTTAACGTTCTGTGAACTTTATGACAGAAGATTGAAAATATGACACTGAAATCCAAAGTATAACGAAAGTTGCTTTTCAATAAGTAAACGAAATATTTAGAAGAAAGGAAACAAACTTGCAATAGAATTAAAAGAGACAAGGGGGAAGGATGAAAAAAAAAGTTGCCCAGAACAAGAAAGGATTCACTGAAGAGTGCAAGTTTATGTTTCAGTCCCCAACACTTTCACAGAGTCAGACGAGACGTGTTGATCAACCCATTAACTGACAATTTTTTTTAATGTGCATTTTTGGCCCAGACAGGTGTATTAGGAGTTTATTTATTCCTTATGTTTAATTTCAGTTGTTACCATTGTCGTTTTTATAGAAACTAGAACATCAAATATATATGTGTATAAAACGTCAAAAAATAATATTGATTAGAAATAATCAAAAACTACATTTCAATATAGTCATTATTTTTCTACTCGTGAAATGTAAAATTACGACAGAAAGTGTCTTCTTACGGCTAATAATAAAAACTTTAAAGGCTAAGTGTTGTAAAATATACCTCTGCAAATGCAATGTATGGAAGCAATTCAATGTAAATACTAGGAATAAGATGTAGTGAGTCTAATTTAACAGATCCCCAAATGAGGCTCATGGCAGGTAATGGGTTTCTCTTAAACAAATAATTAGTGAGCAGCGAGGAACATGGAAAACAATCTTTTATTTAGTATTAAAACGAGACAGTTTATATATCGATGACGCATAAAGAGGCGAGTGAGCTCAGAGAATTCTTCCTGCACACAAGTCATATTGAAGTTAAAAGGGAAGAGAGGGAAACAGTGATTAACTTATCAAACGACTTCGTGTAAAAAGATGGAGCATGAACTGGGAAGGATTTTATGAGTATATTGTTTAGAGCTGCAAATGCTAGGAAGTTGTAGAGAGCTATGATCATCAACTTTCTGAAAATACACAGAACATATAAGAAGGAAGAGCAGCAAATAACAGAATGATTAAAATTTGTGCGTCATGGCGAGGCAGCGAAAGAGGTAAAACAGAAGCGAAATTTATCATTGGTGGGGTGTAGATGCATTCTTTCGTTCGGAAACGTCAATAAGCACTTATAAAGTGTGTTCCAATAACTTGGACCGATTTTAGGTGCATGTGTTTATATGTATGTGACATTATTCAGAAAAACTGAAATTTAAACTTACACGCGCGAACACACACACATATATGTAAAGAGTGTTTCAATAACTTGGACCAATTTTAAATGTGAATTACGTTTAAGCGTCTGATGATTTTTATTCATTTTCTTTCAGATTTGGTGGACATTTGGGCGATATTATTTTTCACACATAATTGCCATGACTTAAATAACATGATCCAATAGAGAAATAAAGATTCACCAATGACACTGATTTATTTACTGCAGATTTTGATCCGTCTTAATGAAACACCCTCATATACAATCCGTCTTAATAAAACACCCTGTATTAACGTGACCCGAGAGATGGAATCATGCTTCATCATTAAAAAGATACCGCTTGACAAATTAGCAATATTCTCTTCAATAAATCGGTTAAACTGTCTGCAATAGTGCAGTCGCTTTTCATGATCAGTTGTTTTCTCTACTTGTACCACCATTATTTTGTATGGGAAGAGTTTTAAATTGTGTATGACGTCTTCAGGAGTAGTTCTAAGACCTCTATCTTACTACTGTGCTGACTTTCGTAATGATTTTCTCGTAGTCTGCTACTGTCAGGAATATCTAACAGTTTCTCCTTTGATAACTTCGCTGGCGTTCCATCACACCTGGCATCGTCCACTGGTCCTGTGTCCCGAATTTATCAACCAAGTTATATACGGCATTGCAATGGGAATCAGGTGTATATGAAAATTTATCATCAAACCACTGACGAACCAAATCTGTTTATGTACCTCCTACTTCAAATAAGGGTTCGATCAGAAATACACGTTCTTTAGTTGTTAAAAATATATTGGGATGAAATTTGAAATATCATTTTTTTTATCCATTTAACCCCAAGCAAGACGGGAATGCCACTAGTACACAGGGGGTTACAGAGAGTGAAAGTGATAGCAAAAGTCTGGCTATTGGGCGGGGGAATGAGGAAAGGATAATAGATGAACGGGATTCAAGAAGACAGAACATGGCGATTGACGTTGCATTTACATCTTTGAAGATTGTGGTTTTCATGGAAGCCAGTAAACTAAAGTGGGAAATGCGAGGAAAGAAACTGTTGGAGTAGAAGTGGCGGTTACGTTTATATATTTCCACAGTTACCTGCATACCAATCTAGTAACACGCTTATATTCACGTAGTCGGGGCACCAAGAAAAAAGCTCGTCAGAGCAGTTGCCATATTTGTAGAAAAGACAAACGGTAAGAAAGTGACTGAAATTAAGTTACCAAGTCAGGATCGACCATAATGCAGATCATATTTTTGGATTTTGTCAACAACCTCGAGATGAATAGCAGGAGCATCAGACCAGATATGCCAAAAATATTTAATGTACTGACGAATGGTAGATTTTTAAATGTTGCAAGATTGACCCTGATGAGAAAAAAACTTCTGGCACGACACAGTGTCCCAACTTTCTTTGCAGTAATTTCAATATAGTCGTTCCACTTATGATTAAAAAAGTGCACATTAACTTTCCGAAAACTCTGTATTGAAAATCCATGTTTTAAAAAATGATATAATTTTAATAGTTTTCTTGATTTCAAGAACATAAACATGTTTTATTTATTTAAAATTAATGTATATAGGGATAATTGTATGAGAAAATATTATAAAAAAACATAGGTAGTATATTTCGCACTTCGAAAAGATTTCTTCAGACTAATTAATTATCGTTATACCCAAGAAATATATTCCTGTTAATAAGTTATTCCAAAAATGTATAGGTGGTACTTTTTACTTCAAAAAATGTATTGCTGGTAATAATTCTTTTCCAGAAATATATTGCTTGTATTGAAACATATTTTTACACTTTCATAGGGTTTGACCCCAGTTTAGGGTTAACTATTTGCAAATAACTGTGACCCTAACAGCTGCTACCACAGCTGGTCAGGGTGTACCTCGGGACACCAGCAGTTAAGAGGTGGGTCTAAACTCCTCAAAACCCCCCGATCAATGGGATGCAGTTTATCGCCATACCCATGAAGCGGATGTAGTCTATCATTATGCCCTGGACGCCTCATTTGAAGTGCGGAGTCTTACAACTCTGCAGATGTACAGTCGGCATATTCTTAAGCAGCAGCCGGTCGACAATGTAGTCAGTTTAAATGTCCCATGGGAGATTTTATCTCTAACAATAAAACATATATTGGCTTAAGGAACACATTCTCAAGACGTCTTACACTTTATTTGTCAGATACAAGTTATACTGCACAACAGCTAAAAACACATGCCTGCCCAATGCAGAAGAATACTTGTCGAAAACATCAGTATACTACACAAAGGAAATAATAAACAGAAACTTCAAATACTCGAGGTGAGAAAACTTTGAATTTACTTAGAGCGCGTTTCATGCGTATTTACAAAAAAATCACAATTACAAATTACATTACTTTTCTGTCTAACACTTGAAGATGATCTCGGATGAGATAGAAAGTACTTGGGAACATTATAGTAATGAAAAAAACTACGCGGTCTCCTTAATGAACTTAATATCAACATTAAGAAGTCAATCAGAGAATTCAGTGGATTAAAATAGAATATATACATTTGTGCAGATTATGCCAGGAAACATATATATATATATATATATATATATATATATATATATATATATATATATATATGTGTGTGTGTGTGTGTGTGTGTGTGTGCGTGTGTTTCGTTGAATAATATTATTCTTTTAGAATGTTACGGCACCGAGGTAGAGTGACAATTGTCTATGTATGTATGCATAAACGCGTGGATGCGTGTCTGCCCTAGCCTCGAAATGTTTGTATGAATTTATATGGGTGTGTTTTGTGTAAGATTGAGCGCATGCACCTGTGTATATATGTGTCTCTGCATGTGAAAGTGTCATCCCAAACAAATGCAGAAGAAGACTCCCCCCAACAAACATAAGCAAACACAAATAAGCATAAATAGATCCATTAAAAAAAAAAATAAACCAGCTTTTCTGATGATCTTAAAAGCGTGAAATACAGAATCACAAACTAATATCCTTACAATTGAATATATTAGCTCTATCACTGATATTGAGCACTTTCCACTAACTACTGCGCATATTATATATATATATATATATATATATATATATATATATATATATATGAAGAGGGTGATAGAGAGAGAGAGCGAGATAATAGCAGGTGTGTCACTGCATGTATGCGTCACTTTTTATATCAACCTGTTTCTTTTGATGTACCTAGTTGCATCGTAAGATGAAATGAGTTGATGGCAGCGGAAAGCAAGGAATTGCAACAAATCGCTGTGCAACCCAAAGAAAGGACCCCGTGGTCATGTGACTCAAGAATGAGTCACATGTCCAATTGAGGACCTTGGACGACCAATAACCGGAAATGCGTAAATGATACGATAGGATATTGTGGAAGAAGAAAAGAAGGGTCGGTGTTTACGCATGGGGGAGAGAGTGAATCTATATGAATAGGAAAAGATGTTGGGATTAAAAGGCAATGGTGAAGATGACAATTAAGGTAAGATCAAAAGTGAGGCTAGGAAAGATGATACTAACAGAAAAGGAAGCCGTAGGGGGAGAATTAAAAGATGGCGACAAGAAAGAAGGAAATTCTATTTGATATTCCCTTGAGAAAAATGAAAAGAAATGAAGATAATTTTATTGAATAAAGAAGAAAATTCGAAAGAAGACGAACAAAGTTATCCGAAGGAGAAAAAGAAGAAAATTCGAAAAAAGAAAAAAAGGAAGACAAAAAAGAAGAAAGGTTCTGAAGAAGAAGAAGAAGAAGAAGAAGAAGAAGAAGAAGAAAATTCGGAAGAAGATGAAGTAGAAGCAGAGGAAAAACAAGATAATTCGGAAGAAAATTTGGAAAAAGAAGGAAATTCGAAAAAAGACGAAGAAGAAAATGCGGAAAAAGAACATAATTTGGATGAAGGAGAAGAAAGTTCGGAAGCAGAAAAAATGCGGAAAAAAGAACATGATTAAGAAGAAGAAGAAGAAGAAGAAGAAGAGGAGAAAATTCGGAAGAAGAAAAGTTCCTTGATAAGGTAGCAAAGAAAAGTGGGGGAAATAGCAATAGAATGAGCCCAAAAGATAAAAAATACAGAAATCCAAAGGATCATTGGGATAGAGAAAGGTGCCTTCTCAAAGCTAAGCAGATTATTAAGAAACAGGAAAATTCCGATAGAAACAAGGAAAAGGATATTGAACTTTTACATGATATCTGTCCTCCTATATGGCAGTGAATGCTGAACGATCTTTTTAAAGATGAAGGCATGAATTGAGGCAGCAGATATGTGGTTCTACAGAAGGATGCTGAGAATACCATGGACGGAACATGTGAGCAACAACGAGGTTTTGGAGAAAATATAGACAAAAGGAAAACTTATAATTAACACCAGGAAGAAGAAGGTGGAATTTGTGAAACACAAAATGAGGAACGACGGCTTGGAGAACCTGTTACTCATAGGGCAGATTAAAAGCAAGAGGGGCATAGGAAAACGGCGCATAATATGGTTGATGCGCTTCAGCAAATGGATAGCGGAACAGAGTTTAGGAGAAATAAAGAAAAGACAAAATTTATTAAGAGTGTTGTGTCGTGGCACAATAGTAAAAATAAAGAAAATCAAGTCGAAGTTGGTTTAAAGAACAAGTGTATTTAACATCACAGATACAAAGGTAGGAAACGGGTACTACTCAGCTAGGCAGTGGTAGTACTGTCGCTGCTTACACCGGGTAGGTATTACTGGCACTATATATAGTGAGAACCGGTGTAATTCCCTTGTGTTAGAGGCCGGTGCAACAAAGAGCTACAAAGGACAAGACGTTGTGGAGAGCCAAGATTGCCTACGCACTGAGGGAAGTGGGCACGAGACATAAAGAAAGAGATTGCCATCAGTTTTGAACTGGGTAACACTTCACACAGCCTTATTTCAGATAAAAAATAAATATGGCTTTCTTTTCTCTAAGGTCAATCACCGAATAGTTAACGGTTGTTGCTCAGTTGTCCTATCAAGCTTTAGTTTTAAGTTTTTAAGTTTTTTAGTAAAGTAATTATTCAATTGCTAGGTGCGCTTCTCGAAAAATTGGTCACTAATTCGTACCAGACCTTTTTCTCAACAGAATTCAAGCTTCAGCTCCTCTCCTTGGTACATCGACTGCATGAATTTAAGTATACTTCTAGACTGACAATTATGACTCATCGCTTTCCCGTTGAAATAGTTTGGTGTAGCCGTAAGTTCTATTCAAATAGTTTCTTCTCTCGCATTTCTCTCTTGTGGAACATCTCCGATTTTTTGGCCTTCCTACAATCTTCAAAAACTTTAAACCCCGTTAGTCAACATTCTTTGTCCTTTTTTTTTCTTCGCAAAAGTCTTCTCAATCTTTTTAACTTACAGTAACACCTTCCATCTTGGCTTAAGAGGATATCACAATGAAACGCGGGTTCCCGCACGATCACCGAAGTTAAGCAACGTCGAACCTAGTCATTACATAGATAAGTGAACACTTCGGAATACGTGCCGGTGGTGTAATATCTAATGACTCGAAATTGTTAATCGGAGAGCCGAGTTCCAATTTCCGTTGAGTTGTAGTACTTCCCTTACATGCAATTCCCTTAGGACAACTATGAATGTACCCCTTCTATGGGTTAATTAGTAGGACTTGTGTCACTAAACAATTATTACTTCCAAAAATAAAGTAAAATTGTGTTCTTTTAAAACAATTCACCCGCACGCAAGGGTTTACAGAGGACTGAACAAGAGTGAAGAGGGCGTGTGTCTGAGGAAAGGAAACAGAGAAGAACGGAGAACAAGATCAAAGTATCAAATGTCGATTGACAATGCACTTGAATATTTGAAGATTTCCGTTATCAGGAAAGCAAGCAAGAGGGAGGGAGTTCCACAGACGGGAAGTGAGAAAGAAGAAGCTGTTTGAGTAGCAGAGACGGTCATATTTAACCTTTTTGACTGGGACGGAGATGCATCTTGCTTAAATTCACGCAGTCTGGGAACCAGCGTAAGTAGCTCGTCGGAACAGTTGCCGTGAAAATACTTGTAGAAGCGATATAGGGAAGCCATGGCACGTCTGTGAGAAAGCGACTGTGGACTAGATATCAGATCAGGACCTGTAATATTGCATATTCGTCTCTGGATTTTGTCAAGGACCTTGAGACGTACAGTTGGAGCACCACAGCATATCTGTCAGCAATATTCCATGCAAAGACGGATGGTTGATTTATAGATTTGAAGGCACGACATAGAGAACCAACTTTCCTTGTGTTAGATGTAGTTATTGATTCAATGTATTTATTCATCTCATGTCAGCCAGCAGCGTGAGACCAAGCAGGCGTAACGAGACTCTCACGAGGAGTTGGAATAAGCCATTCTGTTGGGAGGCAGGGAGGGTCATCTGTGGTGGGTAAAAATATTTAGATTTCGGCATTAAATAACCTGCAAATGGTTCATATACCGCTAAATAAAAGCAAACAACCAAGCAATTCCTTTCCGGCTTAGTGGCGTTATCTCCTTGCTTCGGTTGAAATGAATACTACTACTACTAATGATAATTTTTGATCGTGTGAATGTGCGAAGAATTGACATTTGGGAGCGCGTTGCTAGAATTGCTAGCCATACACAAAAGAAAATGTGCAAAAATATAGAAAAATATCTGGTATACATACACATGTCGTCGTCCAGTTGTCGGTGGCGACATTGTTACCTTAGCGAAAATTGCCAGCATGTAATATCACACTTATGAATAATAAAAATTATATTTTTCTTTCCTGGTTACATTATTTTATTTCTAAAAATTAAAAACATATTTAAATTAATTCACGCCCAATTATAAGAAAGTGACAAAGGCTTGATTATGTATGTTTCCCGGCAACGAAATAGGAAAAAGAAGGAAAAAAAAAAGATAATTTATGTCATGAAAATTAAAAGAATCGAAAAAATTAAGAACTTGAACAAATTCAAGTGTTAAGGGCCTATTTAATTGTTGTTTTAGCTGTGTAACGATGTTTGAGGGTTTCACTGCGTAATTACAAGCAGAAGCCATTCTAAAGCGAGCGGTTTTCAGTTTTCCTTCGGAGTCCTTAAATATTAAGCAGAAAAGGGAAAATGAAATTGATTTCATTAAACAAAGAAAGGTTTCTCCGATTCTGAACGTGTCTAATAAGTACCGACAACAGCAAAATTCTTCTTGTTTTCGTTCCTATCATTCAATCAATGTGATCAAACATCCGTTTATCAATTAACTAAAATAAACAATATTTTGGAAATATTAATTTCAATTTAATTAACGCTGGTATTCATCGTCTTCCCAATGTCATTACTGATATTGAATATATAATTATATACATTAATAGATTAGATGCTCTAGCATAGAACCTGTCAAAATTGTTAAAGTGTAAATAGGTAAGTGAAGGTCGGTAATTCTCACTTGGATGTATACGTTCTAGATTGGATTAAAGCGTAGTATCAGTTCTCCCTTGATTTGAGATAGAATAAGGTGCATGATCGTAGTTATTCCAAACCTGTGACAAAACCATTTTCATTGCACTAAGAGAGATTTGGCCGATGTAATTTCGATTCCAGGGTAACAGTGATCGCGGGGTTTGAGTATTTTTTCATCTTTGGCCCAAGTACATATATATGCGTATGGGCAGCCCACACACACACACACACACACACACACATATATATATATATATATATATATATATATATATATATATATATATATATAAATCTTATGACGCATCCTGGCTAAGTGGAGAGACTAGACAAATATAATAGTTTCTCGGCCTTTTGGCTGGTATGAAAGCGTAGTATAATTTCCCTTCTCATTTGAGATGGCAGAAGGTGCCTGATCGCGGGGATTCCAAACTTGCGGGAGCACCTCCCTCCTTACACTAAGGAATGTCAACGGAAGCGGAATAAAATAGACCTGGTACCTCATCCTGCTGTGGTGGGGTGGTAAATATTATCAGTTGCCGGGAATCAATCTAGAACCACAGTATACGTTCCCTTCTTCTCTGCCGTATTTCTGTCTTCGGGTAGCGAAGGAAAAAGTTTTCCTGGTCCCGGCAAATCCAACCCTACTTCAGCACCTTTCTTTGTTCCATAAACGAAAGACAGTTGTTGGAATATTGACACCAGGGTGAGTGTAGTCGAGGTCACCGGGGATTTTTTTTCAAGAAATACTGAGAAAGTTTTTTTTTTCTTTTTCTTTTACCTCATATCAACTTCAATGGGTTATATAATGCCAACAAGATTTTTTTCTGCTGGTAATATTTTTTCAAATGTATTGTTGTTAATATTCTTTCAAAAATGTATTCTGGTAATAATTTTCTTTTTCAAAAATGTATTGCTGGTAATAATTTTCTTTTTCAAAAATGTATTACTGGTAATAATTTCCTTTTTCAAAAATGTATTGCTGATAATAATTTTTCCCAAAAATTTATTGCTGGTATTAAAATGTATTTTTATACTTTCATAGTGTTTTGACTCCTTGGAGGGGGTTACTATTTTCCCATAGCTGGTTCCCTGACAGGTTCTACTACTCCGAGTCAGGGTGGATATTGGAACATCGTCTTACCCAGATCGCGGATCTAATTTATCGTCTTACACAAGACCCGGATGTAGTTTATCGTCATACCCAGGACGTGATAGTGTGAAGATGTCGAATGAGGCATTTAAACGAGAATTAATTAGCAAACTGTTATTAATTTAAACAGAGTTGGCCGTGATGGTGATATAAAATATCTCTGTATATAAATTTCAAGATTAAATAAAAATACTTTTTGTAAGCAATTATTCACGAGGAGGATGCTGCCCAAGTGCGACATGTATCTCACTAATAGAATAAAGAGGGAATGAGGTTGGTTCGCTACAATGTCCGTCTCATGTCTTAGGCCTTGAAAGTTATTAACTAGTGAGACTAAGGAATGTAGTTCGTGTGAACACTTTTCATGGAAATAGTGATAGAATAGAGGCAGGTTTGCAACGTTTAATCTGTGAGGAATGGGGTTGCAAGATAAAAGATAATACATCACTCAAAAGGACGCGGAGACGCTTATTGACTCTATCGAGACCCTATAGTATAAACTAGATAACATTAAAATGTTGTTAGAAACAAAACAAAAATTAACGTATTGATTGATTCGTTTTTTAGGGTTTATCTACCTATTGCAGTTTATTTAAAGCCCGAAAATATCTTTTAGATTGTAAGAAGTTTTTAAGATAATAATGATTTAGGGATACCTGTCTTAATAATTAACCCATACCTGGGGGGAAGAACAGGTGAATTCGTACATTTCCCAAGGGTATTTGCACGTAAGTGAATATAACAAACCCAACAGGAATTGGAACTCGGCTCTCCGATTAACAATTCCGAGCCATTATTCATTAGACCACCTGCGCATCGAATCTTACAGCACCTGGTACTCCCAAGCGGTCATTCATTTCGCTACTGAGAGCCTCAACGTTGCTTAACTTCGGCGATAGAAATTGGAGGCATGAAAATGGAATAAGGACAACTATTTAAATACCTGGAAAGTGTTTTAAGAGAGAAGGGAAAGTGCAACACAGATATCCCAAGGTGCATTGGGATAGCGAAAGATGCCATGGAAAAGCTAAGCTATGTATTAAGAAACAGAAAAATGTCGTTAGAAACACAGAAAAGAGTACTAAACTGTTACGTAGTATCAGGCCTCCTCTATGGTCATGAGTGCTGGACAATCTCCTCATAGATGAAGCATAGATTTGAGGCAATGTGGTTAAACAGAAAGATGATGATAATACCATGTGCGAAATGTGTGGGCAATTATTAAAATTTACAGAAAACGGAAGCGAAAAAGGCACTTCTAATTACCACCAGAAAACGATATTTGAAACTTCTAAGGGACATAATAAAGAAATTTCTAATGGACATAATAAAGAATGAAGGTAAGAGATTCAGAGGAAAGCAGCGAATAACCTTTTCGATTTTATCTTTTTAATCATTTCACTCCAAGCAAGGCGGGGGTACCACTAACACGGACAGGATTACAGAGAGTGAAAGTGAGAGAAAAGACTGCGATTAAGGAAAAGGATAAAAGATGAATGAGGTTCAGTTCAAAAGAAAACACCGGTTGACGCTAAATTTAGATTTTTTGAAGATTTTAGTTATCAGGGAAGCAAGTAAACAGAATGGAGTTCCACAGGCTGGAAGTACGAGAAAAGAAACTGTTGAAGTAGAAGTGGTGGGTACATTTAACTGTTTCAGCATAACAAGTTTGAAACCTAGATGCCAATCTAGTAGAACGCTTAAATTCACACAGTCGGACCCCAGGGCTAAAAAAGCTCGGCAGAGTAGTTGACATGAAAAAGTTTGTAGAAAAGACAGAAGGGGGCCACATCTCGTCGGTGAGAAAATGACTGTCCGGATCAATTATACTGTAGATCCTTCTTTGGATTTTTGCCTTATGACCTTGTATATCTGGATAGCAGAACTAGGATTAGGAGAAATAGCAAAAAATGAAAGCTTTACTAAAAGCTACAAAGGAAAGAAATTTGTGGAGAGCCATGATCGCTCACATCCTCAAGGGACAGGATGCAAAGAAGAAGAAGAAGAAAAAGAAGAAGAAGAATCATACAAGATATTTTCTCTATTTGGATTTCTTGCCTTATGTTAACTACTAGCAGCATGGCCCGGCGTTGCCCGTGCTTGATTCAAAAATCATACGACTCATACAGCAATCGCTATCACTTGACTTAAAATATTTTTGCCCTTCCTTGCCTTTAAAGGAGTGCCCTTTGCCGTGCTGATGTTGCTACATGCCTTACTTCTTGCCTACCTCACAGTGCGAATTTTTTCTAAGCTCTATACTAAATATTAAATCTGTTACGAAAAAAGAACTAAACAAAATGAACACAAAACGATCAGCTTTAAAAAAAGGACTCGTAACTTGAAAAACCGAATAAAAAAAGAATGTTAACAACAAATATTTTTCACACCCAACCCAGTTCTGCGGAATCAGAATCAAAGTTGAGTTTAAGCAAGCGAATGAGCCAATTGGAGTAAAGTGACATGCAGATTTAAATTTTTCCACTTGTGACGAATGCATCTATCGATTTTTTGCATGCTAACATGCTAGTTAACATTCGTGTCAGTCAGCTGTTGGCTCTCACGCTGGCCAATAGAATCTTCCTGCCTATTCGTTGCAGCCAGTTATAGGCTCTCACTCTAGCCAGTAGAAAATGGCCGCAAACTACATGAAAACTGCCGTAGAAACAAGAAAAAATCGATTATTTCCACGATCGATGGGAGTTGGGAAATGCAAAGTCAGTATTGGCCTTCCCAATAACTTGGAGCATGTGCATGTAAATTTTGGTGCAAATCAGTCGAAAATTGCGGCAGTGCATTCGTTACACACACACACATCCTAACTTTTATAGATAGAGATATATATAAAGGTTTTGGCTAATTTTTTGTATTGTCTTGCAATGTTCAAAAAATTGAAATGTTGCATACTTAAGTACTGTTTAAAAATTTATCTATAGTGGATACCCTTAAATAGAAATATAAACACATACAGTGGATACCCTTGTTGGAAACAAACTCCCCGTTTTTTAATCCTTTTAAGGAATGTACATACACTCGTTCTGATTTTCTCAATCTTTTCGCCCAGATTTGCTCAATTTCATATCCGATTTAATTTATTTTTATACATTTTCTTTTATGGCATATCAAACACA